TATTGCAAATTTTTTGTTTGCAATTCCAAATGGCTTCTCTTACAGAGCATGAAAGAGTTTCGCCATTGATGATGAGAGGATGGGGAGGATAGACAAAGGACATACAGTGAAGTGAGATTGCTGTTCAATGAAAACTTTCGCAATGAAGGCGAAGGTATTTCAATATCGCCTGTAACTCGTACCATCAGACGATTTGTAGAAACTGGGAGTAATAAAAATCACCAAAAATCTGAGAGGCCAAGATCCCAAACGACAGAAGAGCGACAATTTGAAGTAGTCCAATCATTTATTGAAAATCCCAGATTGTCAATTAGAAAAGCATCTCAACAGCTTCAAATGAGTGTGTTATCAATTTCCAAAAATCTAAAAATCATTAAGTTCCACCCCTACAAAATTCATCTCCACCATGAGTTGAATGAGGATGATTTTGACCGCAGGGTGCGATTTTCAGAAGTTATGATGCAAAGAATTGATCAACAACCGAACTTTTTGCATAATATCGTTTTTTCAGACGAAGCATCTTTCGAAATTAAGGTAAGGTAAACCGTCATAATTTTTTATATTGAGACAACGAAAATCCTCATTGGATGCTTGAAGCACATACGCAGCGACTTCAAAAATTGAATGTTTGGACAGGTCTTTATGATAATCAAATGGTTGGGCCTCTTTTATGGGCCTTTCTTAATGGGAATTGGAACTCAGAAACCTATCTGCAGCTTCTAACAGTCCAAATTGTTCCATCAATACAGGAGATTGTTGGTGATAATTTTGATGACGTTTGGTTCCAGCAAGATAGGGCACCGCCACATTATGGACGCATTGTTCGGAACTATTTAAACGATACTTTCCCTAATCGATGAATAGGTAGAAGAGGAACAATCGAATGACCACCGAGATCGCCCTATATTGTACCACTTGATTTCTTTCTTTGGGGCTACATAAAAAATAAAGTTTATTTCACTAAACCTCGCACCCTGGAAGAGCTTCAACAACGGATCATAGATGAATGTGCTGCAGTACCTCCAGAAATGATAAGGAATACGACTGACAATTTGTACGACCGCTTAGCACACTGTCAAACGGTCAATGGGGAATATTTTGAACATCTCTTATAATCTCAGGCCGAGTTACAAGATGCTTTGTCTTCGGTGGCCGGGACTAACTGAACCTTGCCTTCAGTGGTCGGGTTTGAGACACCTTGTCTTAAGTGACCGGGTTTGAGACACCTTGTCTTCAGTGGTCGGGTTTGAGATACCTTGCCTTCAGTTGTCGGGTTCTGAGACGCTTTACTTTCAGTAGACTTCACGATCAGTGAAGTAACGTAAAACCCATAATTTTGAGAACAAGGTCAAGGTTGAAAACGTCATATCCGAACGTAAAATTTTTCAATCTTGACACTTTTAGGTCAAAAGCATGAATTTTCAGTCCTATGAAAGTCCGGTTTGAGCTTAATAACAATCTTAACTCAGGACCTTGAGAATAAGGGCAAGGTTACGGCTGAATGTCCCTCGTTGACCTGTACATTCTTATTCTTATGCGTAACATTGCTCCCTAGCAGGTACATTTTCGAAGATATTCGCGTTTTCAGCCTAAAACAAGCTTAGACCTATATGTGACCTTCAGAGGTCAAATTTGGCCTCTGTGTTCAATGTCATATCCGAACGTAAAATTTTCCGCTCATTTCATTTCTGGGATCAAAAGTATGGGGTCCTATTTAAAAAATTGACCTGACCTTGAAATGATCTTCAAGGTCATTGTCAAGGTCAAATCCAAAGTTACCGTCAGATAGCCAGGAAAGAATCATATAAACCCAGTACTTCGCATTTTTTCTAGGACTCATATTTTTCGAGTTATTTTGCTCTACCGGGACTTTTATAACACCCTGTATATGAGAATACTGTTGGTATGCGTCACGGTATGTTATGACGCACGTCATTTGATTGCCGATCAGCTGATGCTGAGCAGACGATGTGATGAGATGTGCCACCGGAAAATCAATACCGGTGCTTAATGACGCGTCGTCCAGGGAGATTGCTCTTCAATTTTAAGGTATACTTGATACAATTTATAACGCAAGTGGTGCGTACAGGTAATACGCGAATTAGGTGAAGATAATTTACAAGTATAAATTAATGACATTTATATATTAATAGTGTATGTATGTGACGTATACATAATTTTTACAAGTAAAATTTCTATAAAACTTACCTTTTTAAACAAAAAGGTAAAAAAAGGCGCCGAGTACAAGCGCAACACATATTGTGCTATTTTTAGAAATTTTAAACTCAAATTATTTTTTTAAGGCATATATGTGTACTGCGACGCGATTTCCTTTCGCCGTCGGCAAATTGCCGTCGGCCCACGCGTCCCGGCCGCTCGTACTCGTACCAAAGTTGTTGGGCGCCAAGTGCAGCGGGCTGCACCGATCACCAACATGAAAACGAAATAAGTAACGATCGGCCGCGACGCAAGGGTTCGACGGACCCGGTAGCTCTACGGGATTTTAAGTCGGTAGACGGGGGGGGTGGTTCGGTCGGAAATTCGGGAAGTTATCGGGAAAATACAAGAGTAGCACTGCGCGCTCGGATTATCTCACTTTTATTATCACGGGAATCGGTACCGTCTGACCCGCCGATACGATACACTTCGCTGCGTTCTCTCGCGAGTTCGAGACTTGCTCTGCGCTCACAGATAGTCCGAGACACGGTCCGACGCACGGGACACCGAAAGAGAAAAACAGGTGGACGGTCTTACACAGTCGGGAACCTCCCGGCGGCGTAGTCCTTCGACCTCCTTCCTCCGCTCCCTCTGGCGCCACACAGCCACCGACGGTAATCTTTAAGCGAGTGGAGCACAAAACTTTCGATCTAGCTAACGGTAGACGAAACTCTTTCACAGCGACATGCGATAAGCGATAAGGTACTATCCGTAATAGTCAGCAGCAGACTGGCGGTATAAGAGAGTGCGAAAACGGTAATCCGCTCTTTCATTTCCTCAAAAACAGCTTTCCTCCTTTCTTCCTTGTCTCTCCTTTGTTTTGTCTAGAGGCTCTTCTCTCCCCATTCCTCGTTTTCTCTCCCAATACGGGAATCCTTCCGCGGATCTTTGTTTTCGATCCGCGGGACAGATGCTCGGTCTCACTCTCGCGTCTTTCTCTCTCTCTCTCTCTCTCTCTCGCGCGCGCGCTCCCGCTGTCTTTGCATGCACCTAGGCCGGCTTTGTCTCGCACGCGGTCACGCTTCGAGCACGGGAGCGATGATATTTTCGCTTGATATTCCTACGGGCCTGTGGACAACGAAAACGGCAGCGAGAATCTTTTGAGGCGAAACGGGAGTCGATAATAAGAAAGATAAGGGGGAGCATTCACCTGAGGTGGCTGTCCTGGCGAAGGGTGACGTCCTCTTCTTCCTTCTGGCTCCTCCGGTCTTGATGGTCGGCGCAGGAGGTCCAGGGGCACAAAGCTCGGGGACGCGGGACCGTCACACCTGCGCGCTCTTATCACTAATAGTAATAACTAATTGCCATTTCGGGGGAGGGTCCTTCGTAATTCGCACAACCATTAGGGCCTCCTCCCCCATGCCTCGCGGCTGCCACGTCACAGTACATAACATAAGTTTCTACAAGTAAAATTTATAACTATAATAAAACTCTACAACACTATTCTACTGTACAAAAGAAGTGATATATTAGAACAGTAGCGCCAACTGAGAAACCTAACATATATATATATATATGATCATTGTATACTTAATATTTTTAAAAATCTCAAATTCAAATTATTTCCTCTTTTAAGATATATGTTATGTACATAACATAAGTTTTTACAAATAAAACTTATCAAATTATTTTTCTTTCAAGATATATATGTACATAAGCTTTTAAAAGTAAAAATTATATAGTATTATAAAAATTTAACACGTTTATTAATAGTGTCCAATACTTTAAAAAATATCTTGTTAAAGGTTATTGTTATTCAAGAAAAACCTAGTTACAAAAGATGTCCATGACATAAATTTTTACAAGTAAAATTTATCATTATTTATTAGAACACTAAGTTATATGGTTATTTTACTTGTTATTATGACAAATTAATTATTATAACAATGCAATATAAAATATTTAATACAAATCATCTCGGCGCGGCTGCACCAAAAACTATATCGAAGATATATGTACATAAAAGTCAAATTAGATATCATTGACATTTCGTCAATGATATCTTATATTTAAATTATAATAAGAATAACATCTTTGAATAAAAAAATATCAAAATATGTAGAATATATACACATTAGATATCTATATTCTATAGTGAAGGTTTATAATTTAATATAATACTATATAAACTTAAACAAAACATTACACCGTATATGTATAGAGAGAATATATAAGTACATTTTATTATAATAAAAATGCTGTCATGTATGTATTAAATAAGTTTTAGTTCGATATAGTTTTTGGTGCAGCCGCGCCAAGATTATTTGTATGAAATACCTTTTATTGCATTGTTATAATAACTAATTCGTTATAATAACAAGTAAAATAACCATATAACCATATAACTCAGTGTTCTAATAAATAATAACAAATTTTACTTGCAAAAATTTATGCCATGGACATTTTTTGTAACTAGGTTTTTCTTGAATAACAATAACCTTTAACAAGATATTTTTTTTTAAATATTGGACACTATTAATAAACGTGTTATATTTTTATAACTCTATATAAGTTTTACTTTTAAAAGCTTATGCCGCACAGCACATGATCATTCGTATTTACTGTTTTCATACTGAATATACTATAGATATACATAATATACTGAGAATATCTCTACAATATTTTTTATAGTATATTATTTCCCGTATATTTTTAGAATATACGTAATTCATCAATAATATTTGGTCGATTTATCGTATATTTCGAGAATATACGAAATTCATTAATAATATTTAGTCTATTTGTCGAATATTCTCAGAATATACTACAATTATCAGCAATTAATCTCTATTTTATTGAAACGTCTCAATGAATCTAGTGTTACGCCAAAGGGAATTCAGAATATTAAACAGATTTTTGGGACCGGGAGGGTGCCCGGAGCTTGCTCCGCCCCCTCCGCGGGTCGACTGCGCATTGCAGTGTCGTGAAGTCTGGCCCAGCAAGCTATTAAAAGAACAATTCTAGCTTTACGGTCTCAAAAAACAGTTTATCCGGGCGCTTTTTTCTAAAAACTGTTACGTCATATACTTAAAGGCCTACCTTTGGGTACTTCAAAATTCCGAGTACTCCGTTATCCAGGGCTCGCGCGCGTTGCCTCCCTTGTTGACCGCATGTCCGTTAAAATTTGATCTTGGTTGAGGGAAGGCGATTGCCCCCGTGCGATTCCGTGCCTGCGAATTAATTGTGGTAATTATTGTGATAGAAAGTGAGAAGAAGTTCCTCGAGGATATTATACTTACCTGTGATACTTATCTGTTGCGCTGGTATATTGCCTGGAGGCAAGGAGTGGCGATATTTCTAGTTGATGCCCACAGGCGGCAGCGGAAAAGGCAGGAGAAATTAATAAAATAAATTGTGTTTGTATAGAAACCCGACCGGCGTGCAGTGGAGCTGTTAGAGAAATTCAGAGAGAATAGTCGCGAAAATTCTAAGTCTAGTGATTGGCGGCGTGTTGCTTGCGCACATTGCTCCGCTAATAGCCCGTCACTGGCAATAAAAAGTTGATTATTATTTGTCGCACACTGTTGGCGAGGCCTGTGGCGAGCACACATCCATTTTACAAAACACCTTTTATTGATAAAATTTCCCGCCACAGGCGATACAAAGAATTAAGAGAAGCGGCCGCGCGCCGAGCATAAGTCCCGTGGCAGGTGCAGCGCTTATTACTCGACAATTAAGCACACGATCACCGCGCACCTGTCACGGGTACACACTACACACTCCACTGCACACCACACGTAGGTCCCGCGGCGGTGCAACTATCACTTGTCACTTTTTTCGACGTTGCAAACCGCCCGCCGCGGGCCGCCGGTCGGGCCTGCCGAGCGCCGTCGGAGCGCCGCTCCTCACGCGCGGAATTGACACGCGGGCGAAAAATCGTGCGTCTTTTAATTCCGAGAGTGCATGTCGCGTGGCTGACCGTACCGGGGTTCAGCGTGTGCGTCCGTCGTCGCTGCCACCGTCGGCGCGCGCGCTCGCCCGTCGCGCGTATTGTCGCGTCCGCCGCTCGGCCTTGAGGTCGCGGATCGGGACGGGACTTGGCGTCCCGGGTGACGCGTGCCCTCCCCTACGCGGAACACCGGTCACCGATAGCGGCATTGCACCACCTGCTGCATCGGGGCCGTTGCGAAGCGGACGGGAGGTGCTCGCCGACGGGCGTCGGCCGTCCCGCTCCGTGACTTTCGAACGCTCGTTTCTCGCCTGGCCGTTCGCGGAACATCACCGCAGGCGGACACTCGGTCAGGGCGAAACCTCCCCCGCGAGGTTCATCGGTCGCGGTCACTCCGCGGTCGTTGGGCCGATCGGTGGATGTGGAGCATACGAGAGCCGTCTCGGTGCCCGCGACCGACGGGGCGAGAAACTTGTCGAAGCAATTTCTCGCTGTCCGGGTCGCGAACAGAAGCGGCACTCGGGTGGCGAGTGAAGCGACCTTTCCTCAAAGCGGTGCAACGGTCGTTTGGCGCGGATTGCACCCACACTCCGCGCACTCGTCGATTCTGCGGCGAGAAACCGTCGCAGACGACACTCGGTACGCGTGTGATCGCGACCTTGCGAGCAAGAATTTTGTTTTGCCTTGCGGCGGTTAATAGTTTAAATTTTATAAGCTAATTTTTCGCAAATTTTATCGGTATGTCAGTGTCGCCTGTCCAGGTGGTGATCCCGTTCCTGCTCCCGGACAGGGTAACCTGTCCGAGGTGCTTTGGGAAGCACATACCTGAACAAAGGGCGCGGGGATAATACGTCGACGGGCTGCATCTGGCAAAACACCAGAAGAAGTGCCACCCCGACGACTTCGTCACGTACAGGTGTTCCGCCTGCAGGTTCTTGGGTACCGGTGCGTATCCCTTAAAGAAAGCTAAATTGCACTACGAGACCCTGCACGGAACGGAGTCGCCGGAGGTGGCACCGCGGGATGCGGCCCGTCGGCGTTCCCCGCGCCTGACACCGACGCCGTCACCGACATCGTCTCGCGGGCGGGCGCGTCGTCGGCGGCGTCGACGTCGCGGGCCGGGAGAGCGGAGGCGCGCGGGGCGGTGACGCGCGGGGAGTCGTCGCTCGTCTCGGATGGCGTGCGACGCGCAACGCGGAGCGCGGCAACGCGCGGACACCCGTCCACGGGTAAGACGGGAGGCGCCGCTACGAGGAAGCAGCGCGCGACGCCGCCACCGTCGGCACACACACGCACCACCAACACACGCACCACCAGAACACGAGCAGCACCCAGGAGGCTGTCGGCTGCGGCCACACCATCGCCGCTCGTATCTACACCTCTACGCGCGCAGCCGGCGGCCGTGGTGCTGCTCTCGTCGTCGTCGTCAGAGGAGACACCACCACTACCACTATCGCACACACCAACCACCTACGCGGAGGCCGTCGCGGCGACACCGTGGGCGAGGATAACGGCGACGCGGACATCCTCTTCGTCGGCGGAAGCCCGCGGTGCACGTACGACGGCCATTTTGGATCGACCGGAGCGGCCGGCCATGGAGCAACAGAACACTAGATGCGAGATCCCTAGCACGGCTGTGGTCACGCCGCCATTGGCCGCGGCGTCTGGGAAAGAGGGCGCCACCTCCCGGGTCGGCAAGCTGCGCGAATTCTGGGAGTTCTCGCCGGAGCAACGTCCGCCGGTGGCCGAAATCGGTCACACGGCGGCGAATTGGAGGACTCCCAGGCGCAGCTCCGCGGAGGCGACCCGGCGAGCGTGCAACGCCGAGACGACCGTCGCACCAGCGAGAAATTCACCATCCTCGTCGGGCGGCGGTTCGTTCTCGAGCGCAAGGTCCCTCGGGGGGACTCCGCCGACTACCTGCGGAGCATCCAGGCGCCGCCGGGCCGGGGGGCCTAGCCGGCATTCAAGCGCCGTTCACGCCCGCGTCAAGGACGGTGGCGACCCCCACCACCGTCACCACCACGGTCTCTATGGCGGGGAGCCCGATTATGTCGACCGGGCTCCTGGGCGCGAGTGCACGGGGCGCGATTTCCTCGCTCCCTCTGCCCCGCGTCCAGCCGGTGGAGACGGCGGCCCCAGGGCGGCCCACACCAACACCACCTCCAGGGACGACCACCAGCCCAGCAGAAGGAGGAGGAAGAAGAGCAGCAGTCCCCCTCCGAGGAGGATGGTGCTGCGGCCGCGCAGGGAGGGGACCTCGCTGAGGCCGGCCGCTCCATTCACGGAAGACGAGAGTGGACGGGACGGCGACGACGAGGAGTGTGCCGGCGGCCCGTGGACGGTCGCCACCCCAAAGTCCGCGCGTAGAAGAGCGCGCCGCGCGCGCGTACGCTCGTCAGAGGATGAGGCCACGAGCGCGGCTTCCCAGGCGGCACTCGAACCGCCGCCCCTCACGGAGGCGAATTTTCCCCCGCTCGCGGGGGCGCGTACGGCGAGAGACGAAGGGACATCGCCGGCTCGGAGGGTGGAAGGGACACGCGCGCGATATACTGACGAGGATAGCACCGGAGAAGTGTCCGGTCCACGTGGAGTCCGCGGAGTGATGGGTCGGCGGGGAGCACCTGCGTCCGTCAATTCGCGTCCGGATGCGTTGCGGGCGACTGCGGCTCCGGGTTCCCGCGCGGGCGGCGGCGCGACACGACCCGCGAGGGCGCCGCGGAACTCGCCGATGGCGGCGCGCGGTCCTCAAGGCGTGCGGGATGCCACTCCGAACGTTGAGAGACGGTCGGAGCGTCAGCTCGCCGTCGAGAGGACGCGGCTCGTCTACGCGGCGGACTCGGTGGCGACGCTCGCCGAGCTCGAGGATCTGGCGATCCAAGTCGCCGGATTCTTCGGGGGAGGCGGGCCAGGTGGTGGCGCGCCGCGCGCTCGTCGACCGCCACCACGCCGGTTACGTGAGGTCGACGAGGAGCGGCGAGGGGAGAGGGACGCGAGAGAGGGAGGCCGTCAGGGGGAATTGGCACTGGCCAATATCCCTGATTTTTTCGGAGAAGACGGTCGGAACAGGACTCGCGAAGCAGTGCGAATACAGGCGCTCTTCAGGAGGAACCGACGCAGGGCGGTTTGAGAAGTGTTAGCCGGTTCCGCAGAGGTCTGCGACTTGTCGACCGAAGTGGTACAGGCGCACATTGAAGGACTGTATCGCGGAGGGGACGACCTGCGGGGCGCCGAGCATGCGGAGTAAGCCGACGTCCCGGGCGGGGACGGCGGTGCCGCCGCGCTGGTGGAACCGTTCACGGAGGGAGAGGTGTGTCGTCGGCTCCGGCGTATGAACAATTCTGCGCCGGGCCCCGACGGCATTACCTACATGACCTCCGTGCGGCGGATCCATCGGCGCAGCTGCTCGTCGCTCTCTTCAACGCATGTTTGCGGCTCGAGGCGGTTCCTGCCGTCTGGAAGACCTCCAACACGGTATTGGTGTATAAAAACGGTGACCGCGGTAATATCAACAACTGACGCCCTTTCGCTTTGGGGACACCCTGCCCAAACTCTTCGCCGCCGTGTTGACCGATCGTATCACCGAGTGATGCGTGGTCAGCGGGAAGCTCAGTCCGGCGCAGAAGGGGTTCCTAAGGGACGAGGGATGCTTCGAGCACAACTTCGTCCTGCAGGAGATCCTGACTGATGCCCGGAGGAGCCGCAGGGAGGTGGTACTCGCGTGGCTGGACCTTACCAACGCGTTTGGATCGGTTCCTCACGCGGCGATCCGCCGCGCACTGGTTCGCGCGGGCGCGCCAGCGGGCTTCATCGCCATATGGGGCTCGCTGTACGACGGTTGCACCACGCGGGTGCGAACTGACGACGGCTTCACCGCGCCCATCTAGATTCTCTCGAGTGTACGCCAGGGATGCCCGTTCGGTCCAATCGTGTTCGACCCCGCGATCGACTCCGTGCTGCGTGCAGTCGCGGCTGTCGGTGTCGGGGCCGAGCTCTTGGACTCGCGGTGGTCAGTGATGGCCTACGCAGATGATCTGATACTGGTCTCCAGGACG